ATGGAGGATAATAAAATCCAGTCAAAAAACTCTTAGCAAATGTCTCCTTGCAACAAATTGTTTATGATAACCTATAAATACATTCAAGAATGTTGTTGGAAGTATTAATCATTAGTAAAGTTTTCTGTTTTACAACAATATGAAATTCACATTCTCATTTCAGCCAACGTATAGAAAATAAAAAATCACCACAAGGAACCTAATTTGCATGTTGAGTTAAGATGACGACAATATTTCAAATACAAAATGATATGATGACATAATTTCATCGTTCTTCTCAGTTAACCATCCAGTCGTCATTACTTTTCACTAAAATAGCTTCATTTGTGAGAAAACTGTGATTAATTAGACAGCTTTTATTTGATCAATTGCATGAATTATAACTGTCCAGGTGATGTGAAGGCTTTGCTCCAGAAATTCCAGAAAACATCAAGATAATTTCCTAAAGTTGACGTAGCTTCAGGATCATGGCGTCACCAGATCAGAACTTGTTCAGGAGTAGCAGCAGGTAAATGTGTGTGCATCTGTGTGCACGGAGAGAAAAAGCCTTTTAGAGGGTGTCCCGGTTTCAAGAACGACAGCAACAAAACCACCGCTGTCCAAGAAAAGCCTCAGGAAAAGCCTGATGTTCTATTTGATTGCTGAGAACAAGACTAAAGTTGGTTTCTTTGATAAATAACTCACTGGTATGTTTGAAGGATATAAAAAAAATGACCAAGCAACCAAGCTAAAGGATATATTCACAGTTCAGCCTAAGAATGCAACCATAAAGAAAAAAAAGGCACAGAAGCATCCTCCAAGAGGAACTCCTCTCAACATTAGTGATGTGCATTGTGTTTTTCTGCAAGGTGGAGCACCGTGGAACAGGCTGAAAAGAACTTTGTGCATTTTTTTACATGTTCAGTAAAAGTCCTAGACCTTAAGCTCATTTATACCTTGTCATTACACAAATACCCACGGATTCTAAAACGACCCTAGCGTGGATTATTTAGAATGGGCTGCCATCAGTGATGATTTGACCCAGAAGTTTATTGACAGTGTGCAAGGATACATTGTAAAGGTTATGAACAAGAAAGGCCAGCACAAATGCTGAGTCTTAGCTTGAAACTAATGTTTAAGATGTATGTAAATATTCTGAAGTTAACCATAATAACTTCTAGCAAAAAGATTCGGAAACACTACACGAGCAACCATATTTACATTCGGATTGAAGTTTATTTTTTTTCCTTTTTCTTTACGCAAAATATACCTTTTCTTCCCAATCATTGTCTTTTGTGTCTAGTATTTGTCTTTGGGGTAATCAGCCTTTTAGGATTTCACCAATTTTCATTAAAAAAATCAACGGCTTTATTTTCCACAAAACACCTCTATCACTGACATTTTCACCTTGAGCTGAATGGTAGGGTGCTTATTTGCTGTAAATGAGGGCATAGTTCAACAGCTGTGAATCACACACTGCTTTATCGTATTAATTATAATTCATTCTGCAGTCATCACAGCACTTTTATCATGAAAAAAGTTACTAAAATACAAAATAAATGACTAATAAACACTCTAAATGTGCATAAACCTCTGTTATTGATATATAAACGTTCATTTTAGCGTTATGAAGATGCTAAGCTTATTTGTTTGCTCCCAAAGAGCTAATTGGCACAACAAAGCAAACACAAATGGGAACTTGAAGAAAAAACAATCAACTTGGGGAAAAAGCCTATCTCCTAATGAATGATCAGCGTCTGAATGTGTATAAGTCCAAACGAGAAAGTGGATAGTAATTAAATATATCAAGCATTTCTAAATTATGTTGTTTTCTTTAAGAAAATTGAAAAAAGAAGTACTTGACAGAAAGTTTAATCAATGCCACTGGATTCAATTACTGCATCAAACAGTAGATTTGATACAAAAGGCTCTGCTGACCAGCTGAGTGTCATTTAATGATATGACTGATTTATTGATTGATTCTTCTGAGTCTTTCAATTCTTAATGCAAAAAGCCCATACAATGAGAAACTAATAAAACAAAATCACACATTTTTATGTTTTTAATGAATAATTTTGGTTATTGCAATAATTATAATTGCGAACGTCTTTTCCTAACCAAACTTACTGGTTCCATTTTAAATGTGGAGTCGTTTACGAAATCCCATGCAAACTCTGCAATAAAACATACATGGGAGAAACCGGACGCCAACTCAACACACGGACAATAGAACATAGAAAGGAGTGTGAGAGAGAAACAAGTCGGAGACACACCAGAGCAGTAAAACAAGAAGCAGAAAGCACAATAAAGTAGTCAGCCGTAACAGATCACTGCACAAGAGAAAACCATGTAATGGACTGGGACAACACACGGATCATAAACACCGAACAACAGAAATACAAAAGATGGATAACAGAAGCTATAGAGATAAGGAGACGTGGATGTGGGACCATGAAGAGAAACGATGGAGTTTACTCATTGGACCGCGCATGGGACTGCATCATCGGAGAGTAGTGATGCGCGGATTGACTTCTAACCCGTGGTACCCGTGGGTTACTTGTGGGTTGGGTTGGGTCGGGTCAATAAATTTTTTCTTCAGTGCAGTGCGGTTTGGGGTGGGTTCATGAAATATATATATATATATATATATATATATATATATATATATATATATATATATATGCACACTGAGGATAAAGACATTAATCAATGCTTATTTTTTAAAACACAATATTTAAAACAGTTCTTTAAACACGGTCACATTTTAAAACATAACTCCGCGCAGATAACCTTCGACCCCATGACGTAGGCACATGCAGATAGCGCCAGTGAAGTGTGCCTAAGCTCAGAGCGGGTGGCAGGCAGCCACGTCAACAAAACGATGGAGGACAACATTTTGGATTACATTCGGGAGTTTACATTCTTAAAAGAAAGGAGGGACAAACTGCTAAATCGCGTGTTTGGGAAAGATTCAGCGAGGTAATCAGCGCAGACAACAACAGCAGCATTTGCTGGTCAAAAACAAGGACATAACAGGTAATGTGTTTGTTGCCTTTCAAAATGTTTGATAAAAGTTGTAAAATATTTTACTATTTTGTTTGCCCAAGCAGGGACTCTAGGTACTGTTTCTGTATTGATTTATTGCACTATTAGTAAGGTAACAAACAAAAGTAACCCTTATTTAATAAAATTTAAAACTTTTTTTATTTGCCTATTTTATTAATTTATTTTTTTATTGTTTTAGCCTTTAAAATGTAAGTGTTACTACCATTTTCCAGTGCCAATTTGGGGGACTGTTTAACACACCTTGGTCTGAATAAAAGCGCATTCAATCAATAACGTGTTTTTAATGAGGCGGGTCAGGGCGGCGTGGGTTGTAAAAATAGACCTAGTGATGCGGGGCGGTCAGACGTACCCGCGGATAGAAAAAAAACCAACCCGCGCATCATTATCGGAGAGGGGCGAGCGGGCAGCAGAGGGCGACAACGTCCTCTGCTGCCCGCTGGATAAACGGAGTAGGAAGTAACGGCACCATCAGCGTCAGCTCTGAGGATGTTTGCAGACGCAAAGGAAACTGTCAGCAAGGTCAAGAGAAACCTTTCCTGTGTTTTAAAAAAGAACCAAAAATGGAAAACAATGGTGTTTGCAGAATTTGCAGTTGTGTTTGCACAAAACCATGTCCCATTAGTATTTATTTCTCATTTCATTATGTTAATGTCAAACCTGAAGAATTCTACGTAAAAGTTGAAACTAATATGAGACAGACTCATGACATTCAAAGCCAGATATTTCATCAAGCCTTTATTAGTTATAATTGTGATGATTATATCTTACAATATATGAAAACCCCAAATTCAACATCCCAGACAGATAGAATATTGTGAGAAGGTTGGATGTAGATTCAAAGTGTCAGACTCTGATCAGCTCATTCATCCGAAACACTTGCAAAGCCTTTAGATGGTCTCTCAGTCTATGTTAGAAATCCTGAAATAAATGAACTTTTGAAAGATATTCAGATTTGTCATGTATGAGTTTTTGTTGATCTTTCATTTATTATTTTGGTATTCTAGACTGAAATATGTTTTAGAATGACTAGAGAGATATTGTTCGCTTGATCTTTTTTTATATACTTTACAAAAATAATACCTGTAGGGTAATGTCTGGGGAAATATTTCTTTCTTACTTTTGGTCTAAATCTCCAGAGTAACACAGTCACCAAACCCAATGTAATTAGAGCCAGATATAGAAAGCGATCCAACCTTCAAAAGCCTAGACCTGATTTTAAATGGCAGCATTCCTGATATCAACCGAAACAGCGCCACCTATTGTCTGCGTCTTAATTATTTTTTCTCATAAGTTCACTCAGATGCAGGTGCAGATGTATTGCTCCTAAAGTCTAACTATCTAGTGCATCCATCCATATTCATATTTTGTTTGTCAGCACGTATTTGCCACACATTTTTCAGATGGCAAAGATGTCAGACAGACGTGTCCTCGAACCTGTTGACCCAAAGCCATGTGCAGTAAATAGAAATCCGCTCCCGCGCGTCTGCCCCGAGCTTCCTGTGTAATTATAACCATCTTTGACTCAGGGAGAGCAGTTTCCTGTATGTTTATTTGGCTATCCAGCATTAACGGATCTCCGTCTCCATGGAATAAACAATTTAATGAATTCTTATAATGACTAGGCTACTTTATAGCATAAAAAACTGCTTGTTTTTATTTTTGGGTTTTTACGCACAATACGTTGTAAATAACTTTGTTTCGTTTTATCGTTTTTGCTCATTTAAAACTAAACCTGTAAAGCTGAGGCGAAAACGGATAATTTGCATGCATATTTTTCTTTACAAAGCATTTTTCATGCATCTAAAAGATGCGTGCATACACATTCTGGTTTTATTCGTATCGGCAACGCAGCTGATGAAATCTCACCAATGATTTTTCTTTTCCCCACATCATCGCCCAACTCCTGCTCTGAGACGCACGTACAGCAACAGGAATGGGCTGCTGCGCTCTCTTACCTTTTCAGACATCAAAGAACGAACACGTCCACTCTTGTTTGGGGAGAATTGTTTTTCTTTCTTTCAGAAAAAGCCAAGTATTCCTTAAAACATGAGCTCCACTTTTTCAAAAATAAAAAAAATCGTCTCCCCTTGTTTCTCCAGAGCCAGTGTTGCGTCTCCGCTGGATAGGGTTGATTTCCCTCAACTACGTCCTCTCAAATCCAGAGCAAATATTTGAGGAACATCCCAACGCTCACAGGAATTCCATTTATCCTCTTCTCCATCATTTTACCCGATTCTGGATTATGGAGAGATGGAGTCTTTGGCTGTTTAGGAGCAGGAAAAATTAAACAGGACGCACATCTGAATCTGTAAAACTGTCCGCCACGTGCCTCCTCTGATTTCTGTCCTCCTCCTCCTATCCAGTCTTGTCCAAAAACTTAAGAATTACAAACCCAGAAAGTGAATCCAAGTTAAACTGAGGGAGTGATGTTTCCGTCAGCGCAAAGCTGACGCGCTGCGGCCGATGAATGGACGGGTTCTCCTCAACATCGGCGTCCTTGCACCCCAAAAATGTCAATGTTCAGTTAAAGGAAAGAAAATGATTCATGATCGCATGAAGAGCGCCTCTTGTGTTTTGCTCCTGGGCGATGTCCTTGCTCCCAGTGCGCGATCCAACTCGCTCCCCATGTCCTCTGATTCTGATGCTGCGTGCTACCTGCCGAGTTGATCTAAAGCTTCCTCTAAAGTCGGGGAATTCCTCAGTGGAGACGCGGATATTAAAAGCTATCGAAAACTGGTTGCTTATGTCCGTTTGCTGCAGGCACCGAAGACCTCACCTGCCTGTTGCGGTTATTTTGAGGAATCCCGGTGCCCATTTCAAAGCGGAGGACTTTATCAGCAATCGTTACAGCGCACAGAGGCAAAGACGGGCACCGTGGGGGATTTCATCTCCGCCAACAGCGCCTGATTCTCTGTAAGCCCCCTTCACACGAACAAAACTCCAGTGGAACCGTTTAATTATAGATAATTAGATTAATCATGTATCAACACCTGCATTTTACCACCAGTTCTGTTTTCTGTCTGTCTCTCTGGTGGTGGAGACAGGTGAAGTGGGAGGGGGAAAGGGCCTTTGAGGTGCTGCAAATGAATATTTTAACGGCAGGCATGCGCGCAGTGGAAGAGAGTCGCGGGAATCCCGCTCTTGTGTGTGTGTGCCCGGCCTGTGAGACTACCAACGCGCACGAGTGCACAAGAAAAGAAAACAGAAGCAAAGTGATTCCCATATCAGCACCAAGGACAGTGACCTTTCAGAGCGGCTGTGCTTTTCATAAGCTATTTTTGTGTTTCCAGTCTCCTGTGAAGTGTTTTGAAGTAGGAGAAGGCGGCAAACTGGGCTTTCACAATAGTGATTTGTTAAAAAAGGCACTACTGTCTCTCTTTTTTGCATTTCACGTTGAGGGGGAACAGACGCCATAAAGTGTATTAAAGTTGCAAGGAACCGTTGCGCAGGGCTGCACAGTAGTTAGAGCTGTTGCCTTGCAGCGACATGGTCCTGGGTTCGCTTCCCAGCCTGGGATCTTTCTGCATGGAGTTAGCATGTTCTCCCTGTGCATGCGTGGGTTCTCTCCGGGTTCTCCGGCTTCCTCCCACAGTCCAAAACAGTATTGTCTAAATTGTCCTTAGGTGTGTGTGTGTGTGTGTGTGTGTGTGTGTGTGTGTGTGTGTGTGTGTGTGTGTGTGTGTCTCTGCGTTGCCCTGCGATGGACTGGCTCTCTGTCCAGGGTGTACCCCGCCTGATTGCCCATTGACCGATGGAAATAGGCACCAGCCAACACTCCCCACCCACCCTCCGAGACCTTACGTGGACAAAGCGGGTTCATCCAATAGATGGATGGATGGATGGAACAGCTGCAATGTGCCTTGGTATTTATTACACGTGTCTTTGGAACGCCGCTGAACTAATGGACCATCATTCATCCAGATATTCCCTCGTTTGGAAGTGTGATGGGGTGGTGAGTGCCGTTAAACCCATTGACGTGAGTCAGTAGAGATGCTGAAGGTCATGAGTCACATGGTTTTTCAAACCCAAGATAACGTCCATTGAAATAGAGATGAAAATGTTGAAATGCTAAAGAGAGCCAGTCACATGTAGAAATGTCACCACTGACAATACGAGATCCCTAAAAAAGCAGCTTTCAGTTATGTGGTCAACTTTCATTTAAATATGCCAATCCTTAGCTCTTCATTATGGAACCCACCAATGAGTTGAAGGGTCAAATGTTCATACTTGTAATCACCCCCTATACATGACAAGAAAGAGTGCTGCAATCAATGGATCTTCTATAATGTGAGTCACAGCAGACCAGTGATATCTATTCGTTTTCTTTTTTATACTAATCAGCCACATCATTGGATAAATCCATTCAAAGTTTAGCACAAATGGTTAAGTGTCCAAGCACATGGCAGCCAATCAACACTGCTAGTCATCTACGTGTGGTGAAGAAGATTTTATGACGTAAAAACTGAGCATCAGAATGAGAAAGGAGGGGGGTTAAAAGGGGTACAACACTGTTTCTCACAGATGGAGATTGTTCTTTAAGCCTCTAGCATCTGAAACTTTGATGGGGCTCACAATGAACCAGGAGCCCGGCCCAGCCTACACACATGGGTGAGCCCCATATGGAATATACAGTGCTCAGCATAAGTAAGAACACCCCACTATATTTGTCAGAAAACCTTTAGTTTCCTTTCAGAATCAACATTCTATGAGATACCATACTACAAAATAATCGCACAAATGTGGGCCATTGATTGCAAACAAGATTTGTTCATTTTCACACACACAAAAAAGTTATTTTCCCTACAAAATTCGAATTAGGAGGCATTCAACCACAGGTGACTAAGTTACAATAAAAGGACATTACTTAACAAAGAAAAGCCCTTCCCATTTTATGCTGTCAGCAATGGCTCCACATGGAAGAGAAATGTCACTAAATCTGAGAAAATAAATATTTCTTTACACAAAAAAGGTGAGAGTTACAAGAAGATCAGCAAAGTTTTACATATCAGTCAAAATACTGTAGCAAAAGTGATCCAACTGTTTAAGAAAGATGTCTATGCCGTCCATGGAAGTTAACATCTCGCCAGGAGAATCTTCTGATGAGAAGGGTTGAAGAAAATTGCCATGAAAGTTCACTGCAGTTAGTTAAATCAGTAGAAAGTCTAACTGGAGTGATCGTTTCTCGTGACACCATACAGCACACACTGCAGAGGAATGGCATGCAAGGGTATCATCCACGAAGGAAGCCTCTCCTAAAGCCCATGCACAAAAAAAGCACGCCTGGGATTTGCTAGGGCTCATCCTGAAAGAGATGAAGACTATTGGGACTCTATACTCTGGAGAGATGAGACAAAGATCATAATGGTTTCAAAATGGTATGACTTCATAAAGTTGAGGATTTCAATGAGAAATGCATGGTGCCTACAGTGAAACATGGTGGTGGCAGTGTCCTTATGTGGGGCTGCATAAGTGCTGCTTGTGTTGGGGAGCTGCATTTCATTGATGGTATCATGAACTCAGCAATATACTGTTCTATACTGAAGGAGAAGATTCTGCCATCACTCCGTACACTTCGTCTCTATGCAATTGTCCAACACAACAATGGTCAAGTGCAAAACACATTTAAAGCTACTGTTGCATTTCTGAAGAAGAACAGGGTGAAAGTAATTGAAAGGACAAGTATGTCCCCTGATCTGAACCCAATCGAACACCCAGGGTGTCTCCCAGAGAACTTGATAAGCCTTATGAACCGGACCATGAGAGCGGATGAGGGGGATTATTCCGCTGCCGTTTCTCGTCTGTGACAGCATTGGAGGGGCACTGAAGCAGCAAGTTGAGCATCACTCTCCATCCAGCTTCCAGGCTCTAAAAGAGGTTATTCTCGAATAATTGAAAAAGATAGAAGCTGCAACACATCGCCAACATTCCTTGGTGCTGTCCTTGAAAATCACGACGGTCATGCAAAGTACTAGATGTAGTAGTTTTTGTTGAGGGGTGAATTCTTTTTTACTTCAACCAATTTTAGTAAAACTGAAGATTTTGTGATCTTGGTTATGTTATTAACCGTAATTTCATGTTATAGAGTTAAACAAGTGTTCAATAAAACCCTACCTTGTGAAAATTCTGGAAAGTTTTCTTTTGTTCAGTGAGCTGCTGTTTAAATTCCTACTTTTAAAAGAGGGTGTATTAATTTATGCTGAGCACTGCATACGAGCAAGCAGTAAGGGGTCCCGCCAGGATTTCGCAGTTTCGCAGTTTCCTGGTGGCCCCACATGGGTTTGCCCAAAAAGATTTGTTCCCGCATATATCTTAACATGTCCTTTAGGTTTTCATAGAGTTTGACTCAAACACCGGCCCATTAAAATCTTTGTGGGCAAACCCCTGTGGGGCCACTATGGAGACCGTGGACAAACCCAGGTGGGACCCATATAGTGTGCCTACATATATTCCATTTGGGGTCCACCTATGTCTGCCGGCTGAGTGGTAAGCAGTAAAACACAACCCCATAAAGAAGGCCGGCCAGGACATGAATATTAAATGAGCTGCATGATAATTGGTTTCAGTGCAGAGTGGGGGTTGGGATTTGAGCTCACAAGGCTGGGGTGGTGGGGTGTCATGGTCACAGTGCTGTGTTTGGTCTACTCAATTGAACCCGTATGTGTGTGGCACAGACAAGGAACTGTGCAGCCGTACTTTTTTGGACTAGACCACAACCTGTCAGTTTATCTGGCATTCAACAAGGCTGTTAGAATTAGCTCGAACTACTGTTAGCAATAGCTACATGTGGTGTTAGCGGTAGCTCAGGGGCTAGCACTGTTCTGCAGTTAGCATTACTGCAACCAACGTTCATACAGTGCTGACACTGAAGTTGGTTTGGACAAGCAAATGTAAGGAGATGTGTCTAAACTTAAGTTGAACCAGTTTTTCTCAAAACAAACAGTTTTTCCATCACCTTCACAATATAATTAATTCACTTAGGAAAGCAGGTGAGAGGCGGCACATGACTTTTTGATATGCTACATTAGACACCCCAAGCTAAAACAAAGTAACTAAGGTTTTACATTTGTCTGCCCCTGTAAGTGACTTTGAAAATGGCATGGTAGTTGGTGCCAGACTGATTGGTCCAAGTATTTCAGAAACTGATGATTTGCTAGGATTTTCACACACGATCATAGATATTAAAGAAAGTGGTTCAAAAATGGAATAAAAGGCAGTGAGCCTTGTGAATGAAAATACTTTGTTGATGTCATGGGTCAGAAGAAAATTGTAAGACTGGATCAAGATGATAGAAAGGCAACAGAACTCAAATAAGTGCTCATTCTGACAAAAGTCTGAAGAGTATCATCTCTGAACAAACACAACGTTGAACCCTGAATCAGTTGGACTACAGCAACAGAAAACTACACTGGATCGTCCACTTGTCAGGTAAAAACAGGAAACTGAGGCTACAAGTTAGACAGGCTCACCAAGACTGGATTATAGGAGAATGGACAAATGTGGCCTGGTCTGCTGTGGTGGAAAAGATTATTCACATCTTCATGTTCAGCCAATAAATCTGCAGCAACTGTAAAGCTGTCATGTCAATACGGACCAAAATCTCTGAGAAATGTTTCCAACATCTTGCCAAAGCAATTAAATAAAGAATTAAGTCAGATCTGAAGGTAAATGGGGTCCAGTGGGGTACCACAAATGTGTATCTGTAGATAAGGGCATTTGCTCTTTTACTGACTGTTGAATTTAGATTATAACGTGTTTCTTTACTTCTAGTTGTGCTCCTACAGTTATCCCTTTTACATTTGTGTTTGTTCAAGTGTGTGTTGGATTGTCTTGCCCATTTCTCTGTGTCTGCTGGATTGACATTCAGGTGGGAAACAGCTGGGCTGTTGTGCAGTCGAGGTGGCTCATGGTGAATGTGTGAATATTATGGTGTAGCTATAAATCTGCTGACGT